GAAAACAGATCCTCGTCTCAGTCTGTTTATTTGTTGTATTTATTAGAAGTACTAAATCTTTAATAAACACAAAAAAATATATATATGAATAAAATAACTGTACTAAAACATATGCATACATGTATATATTATAACAAAAATAAAACTACTAATGAGAAGTACACTTAAATGTCAAGTTTAGTGCATTTGAACATGGAGAGTGTTTTTTGTGACACCAATCCAATAATTCTCATGTTTTTCTTGGAAAACTCACCATTAAACAAGGTAAAAATAGTAAGAAAGCAGAACTCAAAAGATGCAATAACAATTATAACAGTTGATGACGCATGGAACAATGGCTGTTATTTGATCTGTTGTTATTGTGTTGTGCTGTACTTATTTATGTCAGTGTTTGTGTAAGTGAATGTAACGTCTCTGTTTTTATAAGAATTGCTTTCTTAAGTTATTTTTCATTGAAAAAGAAAACTCCCAATGAAAGCAACGTCACTTAAATGTTAAATTAAGTGTAACGTTTTTGTGTTTACAGCTCAGCAATTGAATAATTTGAATATTTTTTTTTAATTACCCAAACAAATACATAGAATAATTCATATTTATTCAAAGCGGATTGTAATACATAAAATATTAAGTAAATGAAATTGGAAATAGTTTGCAATATTAGTAATTTAAAAAAGGAAACATAAGTCAAAGCATAAAAAGCATAAGGACAAGTTTTAAAAAACAAAACCAGATACACTCTAGTGTATTAACCAAAGACTTGTATATTTCATACTGAAACAAACCGAATACCTAGAACAGTTTATACCGAATTATGTTAACATGGCCTCTCTACTAATACGGGTATTTAAAAATTTAGAAATGGATTTCACCAATGCGCCGTCATGTCATTTTATGAAAACATGTCCCCCCATCTTATTTATTCTGTCAAATTCTGATTATCTTCTTATCACGATATATATTTTTATTCTATTATTATTTAGTGCTATTAAAAATAAAAATAATTATTATCAATATTTATAATGATTTTAAACAACATCATAAAAAAATATATATGAAAAAACATATCTGGATAACCAACGAAAACAAATCTAAAAAAATGTGCGAACATAAAAAGTCAAGTACGGCCTTGGCTCAGTTGGCTAATGAACACTAACTCTGAGCTTCAAATTTGGCAGGGCACGAGTTCGATTCCTGGTACTTGCAGTCTCAAAAATAATTATTTACGAATAATTAAATACAAGAATTATTTCTTGTATTTCAAGAGCACAGATGATGGGTATTTAGCAATATTCGAAATAGCTGTATGGTTAGCCAAAAATTCAATCAATTAAAATAATATTAAAAGAATTTTTACATCACATACAGTGGTCTCTTAAAAATCTACATAATGAATATTTGTGGATTTTTTAAAGCTTAGTATTCTTTTCTTTCAAACTCTTACATATTGTGTAACTGTCCAGTTTTGCTTTGGAGTAGGACTTTAATTCTTGGAAACCCCTTTTTTGAGACCTCAAAAGCAAATACATTAGTTAAAATGATATCGTTAACTCGTGATTTAGGAACACATATGTAATAAAAAATTCTCTAGAAAATAAATCATTTAGAAGTAAAAATTCAGAGCCCTAGGATAACAAAGTAGATCTATATGCGATCTACGTGCATTTTGCTGCAAACTCATCATCCTCGAAAGTTAATGAAACTCTTCGCAATAATATACGATAGAGAAGGCATGACCTGCTGACTTTAAATATGATTGCTTCAATTTTATTAGTTACACCAGAGCCCCTCTACTGAGATTCTGATATAACAGTTAAAGCGAGACAAAGTGAAATTTTTATGCAGAGTTAGATTAAGACATTCAATGTAGACTTGTTCTCTAGAACAACTGTCGATTTTTTGCAACCAGTGCGTTTATCATAGTCGGTTTTTATACGATAGTGTACAAACTCAGCATAGTTGACTTCCTTGGTACAGAGTTTCAATAGCGCTTATTACAACACTATTTGAATTTAAAAGTATTTTGCTATTTTCCACCATCGAAAAATCGCATATCATTTGAGTTACATACAAAATCCATTGTTTTGACAATTACAAAAGTGTGGTCACCGAAACCACTTTGACTTGTAAACTAATTATCTGAGTGTCATGAAATTTTGACATGCCTCATTTGAAGAATGTTACTTTCCATACATTATATAGGTTTGTCAATAATGTTGCCATCTATGTGTGTGACGTACAACTTATTGAGTGTTCTGATATTTTATTTTAATTTCCATAAATTTTTTTATGTCACTCAAAATTTTTCATACCAATTAAATTTGAATATGGAGTACATTTAAAATAAATTACAATAGTAATTCCTGGAGTGAAATAATATTAGATACCCACTACTGCAATTCAAAGTATTCTGTTGTGATATTATATTGGCTGCTCGCTTTGACACAGTACTATGTATCTATCAAAACTGACAGCTGTGCAAACTCTCTAAAGTGGGCTCTAATTGTCGATCAAGTTGGTTCGTTTAATATACAGAGTATGAAGTTATTCCAAATATTGAGAAAAAATTTTCAAATTTAGAAAATGTATACATCCAAGGAAAATTGTCCATAAATGATAAAAAGTACTCAAGTTTAAGAAAATTATACATCCAAAAATAATTGCCAATACATTACAAAAAAAAAAATTCGAGTTTAGAGAAACTATCCATTCAAGAAGTATAATCCACTAACAATTTTCGAGTTTACAATAGTTATCCCTGCAAAAAGAACTATCCTCTAATGATAAAAGAAGTTCGAGTTTAGGAAAGTTGTCCATGTAAGAAGAATTCTCCGTTAATAATAAAAAAGGTTTTAGTCTAGAAAAGTTTGCCTTCCAAGAAGCATTATTCACTAATAATATACAATTATTCGAGCTTAATAAATAAAAATTAAGCATCCAAAAAGGATTGTCCGTTTAGAAAAATTAGTCATCCGAGAAAAATTATCCACTAATAATAAAAAATTTTTCAGTTTACAAAAATTATCCCTCCAAGTAGAATTGTCCGTTAATGATAACAATTATTCGAGTTTATGAAAGTTATCGGTCTAAGAAGAATAGTTTGTTAATGACAGTTTCGAATTCAAGAAAGTTATTAGAATTGTCCGTTAATGACAAAAAAAAGCTTTGAGCTTAGAAAAATTAGCCATCTAAGAAGAATTATCCACTAATGATAAAAAATGTGTTAATGTAGAAAAGTTATCCGTCTAAGAAAAATTATCCGTTAATGGTAAAAATTTTCAAGTTAAGTAAAAATCGGCTATCCAAGAAGAAGAATTATCCGGTGGCATGGTTTACACTCTATTACTATTATTACAATTATAATTATATATATATCTAAAATTATATTTAATAAAACTTTATATTACAAATGCTACCTGTTGTAATCTTATATATCTCTAATAAAAATCCATCATTTAGCAAATACTAAAATGTTTTTCTCTCGCCGATCTATAACAGAATTAAACCACTGACATCTGTGTAGCTTAATGCACTACAGCAGCAACAGGATTTAATTATATAAATAAATTTAATGCAACTTTAAATTAATGTTTTAATGGCACTCGCTGTACCATCCTTTGAAAAGGAAGTGCGCACTATATAAGTAATTATAAATAAAATAGCGAAAAGTATTCAGAACCGATTCGTATATGAACTCATCAGAGTACACATATAATTGCGCATTCATAATGAGTTTCATACCCATATGACCATTGGTTTACTTTGTAATTGCAGAACAACCAGTGAACTGAGCCATTAAAATTTTCTAATGCCCACATAAGTGTCAACATGACAAGGAAATTTTTATATCCAAAGCTTAACATTCACTGGAACACTTCCTTTTGGGTGTGACTGTCATTGGCGTTAACTTCATCGAGCATTTCCCAAAGCATGCAGGACATTTAAATAGTATGAAATTAAAAAATTACTCAGTACATTTAGCATTGCAAAGTTCAATTAAATTACAAAAAATTACATTTTCATTGAAATTAAGTTACAAATTTATGTTGCAAAAATTAAATAAAATATAAAATATATATATAGTATAAAAGCATATTGAAATAAAATTGAAGTTTTATTATTAAACAAGTAAAAGCTATTTCTTCAAACATTTTTATTCATTTAAATAAATTGAAAAATATTATGAAAAAAAGAGATTACAAAATCATATAAAAATATATATTTATGTATATAATAAAATTATAAATTATATTAAATTTCTTCAGAGTTACATTTTTCAACCTTCTTTATGATTCCAATATTTTCCTATATATCATACCAAGGAGGGTTTGGAAAGACAAGCGGATTAATCCCTTTTCGATGAATCACGTACGGTATTCTTCATTTTTTCTAAATTAGAACCTATGTGACAAAACTTTCTGGCAGACTATTGTGCGAAAATTAACAATTAATAATCAAATTGTCCAAAGTAAGGCATACGCCCCACGTCAAGAAAAAATGCTAGAGAATCTCATTTAATTCAATTAAAATGAACTAATCCTTCAAGAAATCCTTAACAAGACAAACTCTTGCGTTCCTTCCCTTTCTATTAGGTCTCTAATAGCCGACCTACTAAGGTCGTAGTGTGTCAGTCGAAAATTGTTTATCATTAATGGATAATACTTCTTGAAAAAATAATAAAATTGGTCGGATTCAGTGCAAACAGATGTGGGTGTTATAACTCGTTTAATTATGAGAACATACTCGCTATATATCTCATTTTGCTTTTCCTTGCTTTTCTTATGCTCAAGATCTCTACTAACTCAGCGAAATTGTATATGCTATACAACTAGAACTATTGACATACTTCTATGGTGACAACATCATCATATCGTAAATTCCGAAAATCACATAAGTCGTCCGTGCATACTATCAAACTTATATCTCAAAAGTCAATTCCAAAAATCTATTAACACAATGTTCTCAATGAGACATAAATGAGAAAAAGTATTTAGTACAACGAAATGGCATTACCATATTTTCCAGGAAATTCATCCGCTAACATCCGGTTAGCTCAGAAAGCAATAATAAAAGTAATGAGTGAATCGCTCATTAAGCTTAATTAAACTCAGCTGAAATCTTTATTATCAAGAAGTCAAGACCGCTAATTATAGGAAAAAAAACAACGTACACTGTCTATGTCCTTCTTTTACACTATTTTTGCGCTAACTAACCATAGTACAAAATTATAGAGAGTCAAGCAATACAAACCAATACATAATATTATTGAATGGGTTTCAGGGTACCGCTGAATACAAGCAGATGAAATTAAGAATAACCAAACAACTATCGGAAATATCTTCAACTAGGAAACAAAAACTGATGCTACTAAAAACTATTCTAATACATATTCAAAACCACATTTTAAGATTACCAGAAGATTCTTGGAAAATCGTAGAAAAAAAAAGCGATTAATTTGTTGAACTCCAGAACAAGCAAGTTTTTAAGAAAATCAAAATTATTTATTAAAAAGTCTAAATTATACCGGAGGGATTTAATTTATACCTTTTTCTATATCTTAAGGTTTTAGGTGAGGAAAATATGTTCTAGCATGTCACCGCAACGACCCAACTAACCATGGATAGCTGTGAAAAATCTAAACTAAGTTGACCAAATTACACCTCAAAGAACTGAAGAACTGAAATCCAACTCAACAGGATTAAGTACGGGGTGGTAAAAGTCTTAACTCATAAAAACTCATAAACTCATAAAACTAAATCTATTTTGAAGTTAAAAAAACTTCGTTCTACAAAAAAAGACGATTTCTCTTTTATTCTGAATAGAGACTATACCATATTAGTAAATAAAGTCGAATTCTTCTTAAAAGGATTTACTTTATAAGTCATTCCATAAATTTATTTAGAAAAAGTTTACCCTTATACCACTGAGTGAATCAGAGTGCCAGATAACGCTGTATATCACACGCTGTATGGAGAGGAAAAAGGGACTACAAAAAGAGTAGTTAGTTGTTGCGCTGTACTAAACGCAAATGTGAATACTTAACGCCTGATTGTAAATTAAGACTGATAAAATTAAACAAATACAACAAATAATTGAAAAAATTATATTGAGTTAATTCAAAAAATCTATGATGAAGTCGCAATAGATCTTAATATCACAGTGTTGCAAGATGTCATACTCATATTAAAAACAATAATTATAGTAATAAAGCAATCAGAAATAATTGATATAGATTATGACTTCACAAAAAGAAATTACTATATTTAAAAATACAGTCGAAACTATTACCTGAACCTTCCTGTGTATAAATGATTATTGAATATGTTACTAACGATTAAATAATTAGATCTTATAATATGCAACTAAAAAAGGCAACGAATTTTCAGAAGAAGATTATTTATAAATTGTTTTTACAGAACACAACATGAAGAATTGTCTATCCTCTTACTTTTCCTCCTACTCCTACTAATGCGGTAATAATTTATTATATATTGCATATTTTTAGGATAAATAAAATTTATGTTGTGTATTTTTGAGATTAAAAGACTTGCAGGTGATATATAATTGATATCTATTTTTGAGTAATTTTTTTAATTATCCTATAAATATACAACTTAAATTAATATTAAATAGCGAGAAATAATTTAAACAATAGTTTGTTGAAATTAA